CAGCAGTAAAGTTGTACACCCACACCATGGACTACGGAGAAGCAAACCACGAGTCCTAGCTGTTTATTCCTATGTGCGTTCTATGCACATAAACGTGTTTTACTAACGCTTCTTGGTTCAAAAGAAGTTTTAACTTACACCGATGACACTGACAACTGACAAGGAGACCCTCTCTAGCTACAAAGAGACCCAGCTGAAGAGAATTATACAAGATTTTCTTTAAAGACGATATGAACTGCATGCAACATAATGCGTTTCAAAGTTCTGACTCTCCGTTACTCGCACCAACATCTCCCCGTTTATGATGGCCGGTGGGAGGGCTTTCTTTACCTCCGATTTGGTCTGAAGAGAACGTACTCTAAAGCATGGGTGGAGCTGTTGGCAGTGGAGATGGAACTGAAGAGAAGGAAGACGAGGTCGGGTGCGCCAAGGAGCCGGGTGAGCTGTTTGTGGATAACCTGTTCTCTGTAGGACATCTGCTGCTGCGTATTTCGCCGAAATCTGTACCACCCAATAACTTTCTGCCGGCAAAAGCAGAAGGAAACATAGTAAAAAACTGAAAACCCAAGGTCCATCGACAGGTAAATGGATAAGCAAACGTGCTATGTCCATGCCATGGAATCCTACTCAGTAATAAGGAACAAATTACTGGTATATACAACACCATGGATGAATCCAAAAAGAATTATGCTGAAAGAAGCCAGACTCCCCACCCACCTTGCCCCGCCCGCAAAGTATATGCTATAGAATTCCATTTATATAAAATTCTAGAAAATGAAAACTAATCTATAGTGACATAAAGCAGATCAGTGGTTGACAGGGATGGGAGAGGTAGGAAGGCGGGACTAGAAAAGGGCAGGAGAAAACTTTTCCAGGTGATGGATATGTTCATTATCCAATGATGGTAACGGTTTCACAGGGTGTATACATATGTCAAAACTTACCAAAGTCTACACTCTAAATACTTGTAGTTTATTGTACATAAACTGATTTCAATTGTTACATTTCATTTGTATTTTCTGAGAAGTGGGGAGCCTTAGAAATGTATTTTAGGTATCAACTGATAATAAGCAACTTACTGATTTGATATTTGTCAAAAAGATTTCCCCATCATTCTGATCAATGAAGATGAGATGCCAAATTAATTCCCATTGGTGACAGCTACAATTCTACATTTTAGAGCTAACAAGTTAGTTGCAAGACTACTGAGAAACTAGGTCTTTATGTTGGAAAGCAAGTATTTAATAGCTGTGTTTGGGCCATCATGAAAAATTATGGATACCTTTCCCTAAAGTCTCACATCTGCTGAAATTTTATAGATAATTTTCAGAGGCTAAAGTGACAAGGTGACTTCCCTCTCTTCT